TATAAAAAAAAAAAAAGAAAAAAAAAAAAAAAAGAATCAGTGTGCTTGTGTGTTTGTTTGTTTTTTTGTTTGTTTGTTTGTTTGCTTTTTTTCTTTTTTTATCTATTTATTTATTTTTTTTTTTTTTTTTTTTTTTTTTATATATATATATATATATATATATATATATATATATATATATATATATATATATATATATATATATATATATATATATATATAAAAATAATATTTTAGTCACCAAACATATATAGAAATTAAAAGATAATGCGATTAAATTTAGGCAAAATATTGCAAAAAAACAAACAAAAAAAAAAACAACCTACAAAAAAGTTAAACTAAATTTTTCCTCCCTTTTTTTTTCTTTTTGGACTTTTATCATAAGTTATTTTGTATAACCTCCAGAATACACCACAAAATCCTAAGGAATTTATTTACTTAAAATTAAGTTTAGTTTAGTTCCATTTCATTTAATTTAGTTTCTCAAGCAAAACATATTCAAATAAACCCCAAAACCAAAATATTCATTTATGCTCTTTAAATTTTTGTTTTTGTTTTGTTTTGTGTTTTACTTTGCTTTTCATTGTTTTGCTTTGCTTTGCTTTGTTACAAATCATTTAAAAAAAAAACTCAAAATCCTAAAGAATTTATTTACTCTTAAACTTATTTAAAAAATATATATGCACAAATTTAAAATATGCATTGAAAAGTCAGATTTGTGAGAGGTGTACTTTTATACTGTATGCTGAGCATGACGTTGAAGTCATATTTATTTGCTCTCCTGAATTATTAACCCCTCATATGTTTTTTTACCCCAATTTTTCAACACATTTTTAAATAAGTTTTAATAACTAATTTCTAATGACTGATTTATTTTATCTTTGCCATGATGACGGTACATAATAATATACTAGAATCTTTTTCTAGATGTAGCATTCAGTTTAAAGTACAACTTAAGGCCTTAACTAGGTTAATTAGACAACTTAGGGTAATTAGGCAAATCATTGTATAACGATGGTTTGTTCTGTAGACAATTAAAAAAAGAATTGCTTAAGGGGCTAATTATATTGACCTTAAAATGTTTTTTTTGTTTGTTTTTTATTAAATCTCCTTTTACTCTAGCTGTAATAAAACAATTTCCCCCCAGAAGAAAAAAAAATATTATAGGAAATATTGAGAAAAAATTGTGAAATATTTGAAGAAAAAAAAATTACATGAGACCCAATAATTTGGAATTAAACATACGGCACACATAAAAAATAATAAAAATAATCATAATAATAAATATTATTTTATATTGAGCATTAAATGTAGCATCACAAAGCACTTTACAGACAAATTTATGAATAATGTTGAAAACTAGTTATAAATGCATCAAATATCATTTACTGTTAACACCACACTTGTTTTTTTTTTCTTCCTCTCGCTTTTCGTCCCAATTGTCACTTTGTACCTGCAGCGAGTGAGCACCTTCTGTTATCCATTCAGCTTCTGAATGACTCTGTCTGTGTTTGGCTCTTTGTGAAGGCTCCCCAGCCTTTGTTCAAACTTCTGTGTTCAGGCAAAAAAGAGAGCCACAAAAGCCACCTGAATGTGCTGCTTTTCCCATGCCTTCTGGGATGTGACATCTGTGGGGGAGTGGGCCTGTTTTCAGGGAAAGGAACAGAGGGGTGAACAGCATTTTTTAGTACACCACATGCAGGCTGAACTAATTGATCCTTGCTGTAAATTCTTTTGAATTGTATATTAATCAAACACACTTGATTTATAGAAATATTTGGATTTAATTGTTTTTAATTTTAGTTGTTTTTTTTCCCCACAAAATGTTTTTCATCAACTTCATTTATTCATTTTATATATATATATATATATATATATATATATATATATATATATATATATATATATATATATATATAT